CGCTAAAATATCTCTTTTTTAGTTGTTGTGGATCTCATGACCCACCATGACCTACCATGAAACACCATGGTTCACCACGGCGCACCATGAGGCCCCTTGACACACATTTTCCATAGATCTCATGAGAATCTCATGAGAAATCTCATGGGGCACCATGGCCATTTTACTCAAGGATATTTGGCATAATTATATTTTGTTTATTCAAGATTATTTTCCAATATCTTATGATCCGCCGTGAGTGACCATGGGTCCTCGTGGTGCACTATGGGAGGTTTGGTAGATTCATGGGCGTTCGTGGTACCCCATGAGATTGTTTAACAAATAAAAACTTTCCGTTTTTTTTGTTTTTCTGTATTTTTTTAACCGTGGTGCGCCATGGTCGCCCATGGTACACCATGAGGTCCGATACTTCACTTTTATTTTCATAATTATTTTTGTTTTCAGTTTTATATCCCCATGTCTCCTCATGGTGCACCATGGGTTCACTATTCCCAAAGTCCCATGAGATCGGCCATGGCATGCCATGGGCTGACACGGAAATGCTCTCGTGGTGCCCCATGGCCTATCTCGTGGGAGTACATGGGACCCCATGACCCTGTTCTCATAGTAGCTCATGCGACCTCATGGTTCCTCATAGTGCCTCATGGGCCCCCATGAGACGCTATAATATCGTTTTTTATTTATTACACAATAATGTTATAGTCTGAAGCAAAAGGGCTGAAGCAAAAGCAGAGAAAAGCAGACAACTTTTTCTGCCGATTTATGAAAATATGGAAACCCACAGCAGCAGTAGTATTTCTATATGTTCTGCTAGAGGGTTTTGGGAGTCAGATGACTGTAGAAGTTCGCGTGTTGGTGTGTGTTGGTGGGATGCGGAGCATGTCCCGGTAGCCGCTCTACAATAAACTGCTGCTGTAGGTATCCAGAAGATATTTCCGGGGAAAACAAAAGTATTTCCATGAAACGGAGGAAGAAACAACGTACTTCCATGAAACGGAGGAACAAACAACGTACTTCATTTTGTTTTTGTTCTCGGGCGGGTGTAGTTTTGCAGACAGCTGTGCGCGCGACACTGGCCGCTAACCCCCCCCGCCTTTCGCCTGGATCAAAAGGGAGACGTACTACAGCAGTAGAGTACTTTGTCTCGTCTCATGCGGAGACTTGGTGGCTTGGTTGTCGTGTGTGGCAGGGTGTGTGGTGTGTAGCGAGCGCACACGCACAATCCACGTCAGCGGCTTGAAGAATGTGTGTATGAGTGGCCTGCACTGTCAAGAAATCGCGGTGTGATTGGTGGATCCATGGTAGATGTCGGAGACGCGACTTTCTGCCCTCGCTAGCGCTGCACGCAGTCCGCCCCGAGAGCGCGCGGCACGCCGGGAGGGCCCTCGCAACACAGGGCTATCGGTAGGTGCAAGTCTCGCTGTGGGGCGAGGTCAACGGGCGGAGAAATTCGCAAAAAAGGGGCTCTAGGCTCACGAGATGATCACGATTGCCTTTCCGGCGATCTCGTGAGCCCTCAGCCCGTAGGAAATCCGTCTATAGGTCTATTTGATAAAAAATTGACCTTCCAGTCAAACGTTGACTGGACAGATGGTCTAATTTTATCTGATAAAGGATATATGCTCAGAGCTCGTCAGCACCCGGCCGGAGCTCATGGGGTTGTGAGTGAGTAGAGATGTCCGGGGCCGGACCCCTCGCCAGAAGTCGATCGGTAAATAACCAGTGATTCTTTGGTAAGTGGACCACTGGGATTCGAACCTGTGCGTGATACTTATGTACGAACGGTCTGACCATCAGACCACCGAGTCAACGTTGACTGGCCAGATGGCCTAATTTTTTCAAATAATGTATACCTCGATTTTTCGGCTTTTCGATTACCGATAGACAAGACTACGGACTGGCATGTCCCTTTCACCCCCGACGGGACCGCGCGCTCGTCGAGTGCCGAAATTCTTCACCACTTCCTTGCCTCTCCTAACACCGTCCCTTCTTCCCGCCCCTACAAATCCTCTCCCCTTCTTCTTCTTCTTTCCTTCCTCCCGGACACTCACCACCATCCGTCCTGGATGTTGGCCCCCCGCCCCATTGGGGGGCGGGGGGCAGTTCTTAACCCTAGTTTTATATTATGCGTGACCTGTAAAGATCCAACGCAAGGGCGAAAGGTCCACCACTCAAAAAATCAATGAGGAATATTAGTCGGAGCAATCTGATAGACGATGTTGATTTTTTTTTTCTTTCCATGATCCAGTAGCTTCGTTCTTTGTAACGTGTGTACGCATACCCATCGGCGCACTCTTCAGAGCAGCTATACCTACAACACCCCTTCTGTTACCCGGGACTGGCTGCGTTAGCACTTCATTTCAGCTACATATGTATGGGAGCGGCATTCTTCACGGAGAACATACTCCCCATTTTGTGTGAGCTTCAAAGATTCTACCTCAAGGAAGGGCGAAAGGTTCACCAACCATCTGCAAAAGTTCACTCCGAAATGAATATTCGGAATGAAAAGGGCGAACGGTTCACACAACCAAGCGGAACTCTCACTTTTTTTTTTATTCCGCAACGGTGTCAATACCTGTTGAACAGATCTCCAACATATCTTTTCCCACACACCCTGCCTACCGAACCTTCCACACCTTACCCCACTCACTCACACTCTCTCCTCCCACCTCTTCTCTCCCTCTTCCAACAGAGCGTTACTCGAGCTGTGATCCATCACCGAAACTTCTACAATCAGCAGCACCATCAACAGGTTTAGACCACAAGGGCCCAACATCATCACAGCAATGTCAAGGACAGCAGCAGCCGCAGCACTTCTCGCCGCCAGCGGATTCTTCGCCCAGCTGCCTGTCAGCGATGGTCACGTCTACATGATGAACCCAGTCTCGCGCCAGCTGTGGGGCACAGAAGCCTTCCAAGAACCGTGAGTTTGAGAATCAATGCTGTAGCTTGCGTGTGTACTTCAGCCCGCAGCCAGAAGTGACATGATGGGTTGCAGTGTGCAGTGTGTGTAATGACAGCTACTATTTTACTAATACAGTACTACCGTGCGACCTACAGAGTACTACGCCTAGAATCCACTGCTGTTTTGGAGATGCCAAAATGCAGGATCCACGATGGCAGTAGCTTGTGGCGGTAGCTTGTGCCATGCACCTTTCTCTCCCCTCACCGTAACAATCCATAACATCTGTTGAGAGAGAGCACTCGGTGACGTTTAGGCACGTACAGCAGTAGTTTGGGCCACAACGCGAGTCGGCCAATGTGTGCACCTGGCTGCTCGTCGTGGCGATTGGGGATGTATGTTTGTGTGTACCAAAGATACTGAGGATCCGTTTACGGCTGCCAAGATACCACTTTCTTTCGGATCCTTTCTTCTCGCATGGAAACTTGAACCCGAAGAACCACAGGAGGGAGTGGGCAGGGGGCCTCAGGGAGTGGAACCCTCCAGTGTGGCCACGGGTTGTTATAAACGACAACAGGTGCTGAGCGCTGATTTGAAGTGAACGAAAAAAACAAAATCAAATTCCCACAGACCAACGACACTCACACACACGCGGCCATGGCTGACGAACATACCCCCCCCCCGCCCTGGGTCTTCGTCGCTTGGCAACGACGTTGTAAAACAAGCCGCCCCCCCCGGTGTTTGCCATCGGGATTGGGTTTTCGTCGCTTGGCAACGACGTTGAAAAAGAAGTGAAGTGAACTCGGCAACCAGGTTACCGTTATTTTTTTACCTCTGATTTTCTTTTTGGCGGTAACCATAATGGTGGTCGAGTAGATCATGTTGTACGGGGTGGAGAAGCCTCACTCCGCGCAAGGGGGATGATCACACCACGTTGTGTTAAATTGGTCAAGCATCCTCGAGGCAGCTACACAGTGCTTACAACTGTCTCTGGAAGTGAAAGCACCAGAAAATAAATTAACTCATACGCAACAGTCATCCGTACGCAAGGAAGTAAGCACAAGATGCCGAACACCCTTAGCAGGATGCAGCTCACCCTTCATGCGACTCGCCGAATACCTCACGGCGCTTCGCGCTTGGTGATGTGAGAGCCTGGTCCGGTGAGAACCCGGCATGCTCCGTCCCGGCTTTGAAGGGATGCGAGGTCAATGGTCTAACGACTACGGCATGCACGACTATGAGTACACCCCCCCCCCCCCCTGGGCTGGTGGTCCCCCTACCCCCCATAGGGGATCCCCGGAAATAAATTACTGCCCCCACTGTTTTCCGAACCCTGGGGCCGGCCGCGATCCCCGCGCGGGGGGGCGACCCGCCCTGGCCCCCCTTTCACGGGGAAAGTGGTGGAAACGGGAACTACATCCAGAGCGACGAGGTGGCTCAAGAGGCACGGGGTCTGCGGCGACCCCCAGCAGGTATTGCTGTGGCAGTGTAGACTATTGTTAAGCGGTTTCTGGTCTGAACGTCATGCTGATGGCGGAGGAGTCCATCGACCGACGACGCGGTTGACGAAAATGGGGGAGTGCGGGGGGAAGGGAAAAGCCAGGAGGCGTCACAAAGATGTATACCTGACTGTTGTCGAGGATATTGCGTCATTACCTATCAGACCGAAGGTGGATCCAACCTAGAAGCAAATTATGAACCACCCGGTGTGGATCTCATCGAACGTCTCGGGATTTGTAATAACCGAGCAGCGTTGATCACCGATTTTCTATAGGCCACCCTACTGTAGTGCAGTATGTACTGCTGTACAGCACAGCATACATTAATGTTGCTTGCAAGCGAATCGGTTCCAATACCCGTGGATCTTATTAGTCTATGCCTCTGTTCGAATGCCCATGAATATTATGTGCATCGGCGTCGTCCTGTCCAATATACCCATGGATCATATACTACAAGGCGAAGTCTCCCGCCCGCGCACGAGAGGCCTCATCCAATCAGATCAATTTTTCATTTACTATTTTGCATGTGCATACATGACCAGACATGGAGGCAGAGGAGTACTCATTTTTTCTTTTTTTGCAACCCGTGCCCGCCTTTCTTCGTTTCCTCTTGGTTTCAGACCGCGGCCGAAGGCTCCAACAGGTACGGGCAGGAGAACAGCAATTACCCCGTGCTGGAGACGTACGCCGAAGGAGGCATCCTAGAGGTCAAGATCGTCGTGGCCACCTACCACTGGGTGCGTCCTATCAACATACGAAAAAGAAGCATGTTGTGGGCATGCTCTAAACGAAGAGCCTTGTTCTGCGCGTACTCTTCTCCCATCATCCTCGCAAATTTTATGCACGACTCAAGACATCACGATCATCTTGACTTCTACCGGCAGATATTCTGAGGCAACAGAATGCCCTACGCCATATACCTTGAACCGAAAACGCCCGCAATTTACTGTGAAGTTGAACTTTTCGTCGAAAACCGGGCACCTTTCTCCTCTCTCCCCCTACATCCCCGCACTGAAAAAACTCGTTGTTCTCGTTTGACGCTTGCCAGCCTCTTCTTTTAGCGCGGACGAATAGTCTCTCCCCATGTCTTCCAAATCCAACCTGTCTGTTACCAATCTTTCCGTGCGCCTCTGACACACCTATTTTCCTGACAGGGCCATGTCGAGATGTTCCTCTGCGACGCCGACGACCTCCCGGACGGCCCCGACAGCGTCGTCACGCAGTCCTGCTTCAACGAGTACCCCCTGGACCGCGCGGAAGACGACGAGTTCAACAGCCCCATCGACCCCCTCAACAGGGGGCGCTTCATCCTCGACCCCCCCTGTCGCGCCAGCGAAACCGACCAGGAACTCCTGCCAGGCGCCTTCGCCGGCGACGTGGCCACCGCCCGGTTCCAGCTGCCCCAGGGGGTGACTTGCGAGCGTTGCGTTGTCCAGATGGTTTACTGTGAGTCGTTGTTGTTGATGTTGAGACTTGGTTGTTGTTGTGGATTTCCACGTCGTGATCGTCGAAGCGCGTTGTTGGTGGCAGATGGTGCCAATCTATATTCTCCGGCGGCATCCAAGGCAGGGACGATGCCGCACAAAAACCGTTTAGAGCACTGCACTGTTGTTGTTGTTGTGATGCCGGTATGCTACTGTGGAGCGAAACGTCTTGTCTTGTTTCCGGAAGGATGAGTCTCATTTGCTTGCTGGGAACTATTTTGACGAACAACCCGATGAACAGGTCCATCTTAATCCGCGTTACGACGGCCCTCTGTTCATGCGCCAACACTATATAGTGGCGTTGTAGATCGGACCCAGGCGCCTTCTACTTCTGAGCGCTGTGCACGGTAGCTTCAGCACGGATAATAACTAGACCCCGGCGCAGCAGCCTTTTTTCGAGTTCGTTTTGGTTGCTTTGTTTATTGTCCCGACACCTCTACTTACACATCGTGAGATGTCCGGCGAGGCTCACTCGCGCACCAGCATTATTTCACGCTTGAATTCAGCAGAACCCCGCCCCGCACTTCTCGCCACATCGCAGACACCGGCAACTCGTGCAAGCACCAAGGTTACGCCGAGTTCAACCCTCCCTCGTGGCCAAGCTCGTGCGCCCCGTCCAAGGCCGACTGGATCAACGAGATCGTCGGGCAGCATTGCGGCGACGGCGACGCTTACCCGGAGGAGTTCTGGAACTGCGCCGATGTCTCGATCACGTCCGGTAAGGCTCCTCATGACCTATGCCGACCTTCCATCCCACCACCAGTAGCGCTTCTTGGTGTAGGTAGATGCACCTTGTTGTGGCATCCTGACAGCAGTCAGCGTGGTTTGATCGTTGCCGCGAAAAGGGAATCAGTCGCGGTCCTCCCTCATTTACGTGAACTCTCTGATGTTGATTTCCCTCCCCCGTCCCCGCCGCCACCAGTGGGTGAGCTTTTATAAGCCTTCTCTGCGTGCTACTCTCAACCGATCTTCCTACTGCTATGTATATGTATTCTTGACAGTATCGGCTGTGAGTTTGGTTGTCGGCCGAACAAGGAACCACGTCGCACCGCCCAGCGGTTTGGCGCGCACGTAACACTACCGCTCCAATACTCGTGGCGAACTCGTCTCTGACTCACACAAGTCTTGAGTCATCTTTTCCCTCCGCGGTTTATGCGCGCAGCAACAAGATCCTTCACCACTGAATGAAATCACGACATTCACACACACAAGTCTCTGACGTCTGCCACCAATACCTACCGCCGCCGCCGCGGCTGCCGCCGTTCGCGTCTTTCCATTCGACGACCAGACGGGGGCCCCGGGCCCGCGCCCGCCCCCACCCCGGAGACCCCCAAAGAAACCAAGGCCCCCGTGGACGAACCCACCGAGCCTTCCCCGGCGCCCGCGGCCGTCGTCGAAGAGTACGAGCCCACGTACGCCCCGACTCCGGAAGAGGAGTACGAAGAGCCGACGACGGCGCCCTTCCCTGTCTCGACCGACCCCGACTGCGAGGACCCCGTCGATGCGTTCGCCCAGTGCGGGGGGGCGGGGTACGACGGGTCCACCTGCTGCACGGCCGGCTACGAGTGCGAGGAGATGGCGGACTGCTACTCTGAGGTACAACGTCGGCAGTTGGTTGGGTCGGTTGTTTTTCTGTGCTGTGGACGCGACTGACTGGCTGACCGAAAGCGTCGGCGTCGATTGGTAGGTTGCGTTTAATCGGTGGGTGTAGTGGCACACGCCATGAGGACGCCCCCCTTCCATCAGCAACGCCTCTCCGCGAGAACGCCCCCCCCCCTCCCGGTGTGGTTCTCCAACGTGGATTATTCTTCCCCCACAATACTCGTTGCCCCCACGCCCCCTCTGTGGACGCGTCCGCCTCGGGGATGCCCCGCTCCGGTGATGAGAATACCTCCGTAGAAACGCCCCTCCCTCCCTCCCTCCCTCCCTCCCTCCCTCCCTCCCTCCCTCCCTCCCTCCCTCCCTTCCGTTGGGTTCGCCAACTTTTGGATCCTTCGGCTGCGGTTAGGTTAGCGTGTTCGTCTTACCCGGGATAGAGCGTTCGGCTTACCCAGCAAGAGAGTGTTCGTCAATCGCCACTATGTTTGTGTGCTCTTCTACCAACCATTGTGACTCGCCGTCGACAAACTCCGCCCGCTGCCTGCCTGTGTGTTGTGTGTGCTTTCTCGTTTCTTGCTTGCTGTCTTCGATCCGATTCCAGTGCCGCCCCCGCGGCGACGGCTGCTCCGAGAGCTGGGGGCAGTGCGGAGGGCTGCACTGGGAAGGCCCCGAGTGCTGCTGGCCCGGCGCCGAGTGCGTCGAGCGCAGCGACCAGTTCCACCAGTGCTCCCCCGAGGGAGCCGTCAACTGATCTGATGGATGAGCCATTCAACTGACGATGAGCTATCAACATCAACTGACGATGGGCCATCGACTGTCGACAAGTCACCTGGTGATATATTTTATTGTTTTCGTGTGGGCTGGAGAGCAGGTGGGGCTACAGTTCCACCAGTGCGTCCCCGAGGGATCCATCCACTGAGCATGATGATAATCTGCTGCCTTGGTTGCGTGTGTTTTTTTCCGAAAGTTTGCGCGTTGGACTTCTATTTTTACACATGTGAAAATATGAGGCCGGATGGTGTGATCTTACGGTCCCTTGTGGCAACTGCTGCTGTTGTTGTTGTAGAGGTGCTGTAGCCGTTTTTGTAGCCGACCTTGTTATGACCATATGGTTGAGGTCGTCTACCACATGCTTTGGTCGTCTACATACATACGTCACCTGTGCACGTTTTTCTTGAGGGCGTCGTCGCCTTACGGCGATATCATCATTGTGCTGTGAGACAGACAGAAAGTTTTTTAAGTTTCTGGAGCATATCGTTTTTCCTACACCCGCTCCACGTGGGGGAAACCCTGTTGTCAACATTGATTGGTTGCTGTAAGTTGGAGTTTGCCGGAGATCCGTCGACTTTAGTGACCCCGTGGAGGTTTTGGGTTGGGTGGGTGGATCACATGGGTGAGGGATGCTTATTGTGAATGAATGGCGTGATTTGCTGTGGTATTCGCGGCTGTGTGGGATGGGGTGTGGAGAAGGGGGAGGAGGGAGGGGGTAGGTCCGATGAGTGGACGGTGCAGGTCCGATGAACGGACGGTGTAGGCCCGACGAGTCGGTTGATTTGGTTCAGGATTGCGAAGGCTCTTCATCGCGATGCCGTCCTACAATATCAAATATGTTGGCTGTTGGTTTTCATGGGGCTTGTGGGTTGGGCGGTTTGGGGGGGGGGCGTGAAGTTAGCTTAGCACCGGATGGAAGAATAGAGTTTCACCGCCATGTCGTCATGTGTTTACCTGCTGTCGATAGTTCTGGTGGCCGTATGGGTTGGGCTGGTAGGGTTGTAGTGTGGAGGTCACGTGTTTTTGAATAC